CCTTTTTTACATAAAAATCTGTTATATTTTATATGTATAAATTTTTTGGTAGATATTGCCCTAGTTAAATCACAGCCGTCCTCAGTGACCTCTCAAGCATAGACTCAGTTTTGTTGAAATCTGGTGAATTTGCTTGTTTTTGCCCATAGCGGCTGCTGTGGCGTAAGGGCTGTGTCTTTTTCACTTGGGCAGATGGATCTGGGTGGTGCAGTGGTCGAGGAGATTAAAGAGTTTCCAAACGCAGGGAGGAGTGTCAGTGCACCACAGGCTAAAAACGACACCGACCACAACCCTGTCATCCAAGACCATACAATGAACTAAAGCAGCACAATGGCACGGGTGGAGCCTTGTTATAATGTCAGTCAACAATGGAGGAGTAAAGATCTTAAAGGGGATTATATGCATGCACTGGCCATTGGTTTAGATTATAAAAGTATGGGAAAGTAAGAGCAAAGTTTGTTTTGACTTTCCATTAAGAGCATGTTCCCTTTAACTGGAGGCCGGCTCACTAGAGGGAAAAATCTTCATTTGCGGATGTAAAACCATCAGACAATTGAATATGAGTCCACATGTCACTTAAGTCTGTTTACATCTTTTGAAACAGATCTGTGAAACATTTTTACTCCAGTGGATCAGACTTGGTCCGGCTAAAGTGATACTTACTGCGGTTGAAGTGAAACAGACTTGGTCCAGCATTTAGTCTGCCTTGACACATTGCACATTTCAACCCTGTTTTGTGTGGGAGCGTCCTATAATATATCTCATTGTAGCTAAATTATCTAAATAGTCTTACGTAAGCCTCCAAATAAATACTTTGTCATCTTAATGCTATTCCCCATATGAACATCTACTTTATTAACTCTATTTATGTTTTGTCATTGGTCCCAGACGCTGTGTATTGACTTAAAAGTGCCCCTTGACTGCTTAGTTTCCACCACTTCATATTGTGTTTGGCCTGTTTGTGTTAAATCATGAATGTGAAAGGATACATTTTCTGGGCTAATATTCTTTAGATTAATCGGTTAGTTCCTGAACTAACTAAAACTAGTCTTGAACTAGAGCCTAAAAGGTCCGTGGTTATGGGAGTATTCATACATTTGACCAAAAAAAAAAAAAGTTGCCCCTGGAGAACATCGAGAAAGAGACTTATCACATATTGGGTTGTTCGATTGAGAATTCTTTGATATTACTAAACACATTGTCATTCCTTTCTGTAATTGTGATTAACCAATGACCTTATTACAGCCCTTTTATATTTAATTCAGAAACTGAACATGTCGTGTTTGTTAACCATTTCAGGCGCATTGTGTTGATATTGCACAATAATGAATGAATGAATGAATGCCTTTATGTAAGTAAGTAAGTAAGTGATCTTTATTTATATCAGTGCCATAGTCGGGAAACTGCAGTTCGATGAATAAACTTCAAGCAGCTGAATGTTTTCATCCACGCCCCTTTATGGACACAGTATTCCTTCATCGTTGTACATTGTTTAGTCACAAAGACTTTTTTGTCTACGTAAATTTTGTTTTACGTAAATTGAAATGGCCTCAACAGGAGGTTTTGTTCTATTGTATAAAATACCTGAAAAAAATCTCCCCTTTTTAGGGAATACAAAGCCTCTGTTGCCTTTCTCTGCAGCAGCCTTTTGACATTAATCGTGCGCTTGTTTTTGAAAGTCAGTTGACGTCACCATTTGAAAAGACAATCACTCGTATTTCCTTAAGTTTACAATAATAACACAGATTTGGACGGCGGTTGCACTGTAATTGCTGAGGCCTATGTAAACTGTTGAAATCAAAGACATGTGTGGTGTGGGTGAACTTGCAAATGTTGATGATTTAATGGTGATTGACAGATGTAATAACCCTTTGCAAATCTCTTGTGTAATGCTTTGGGAACCTGAGCTTTGCTTGAAAAGGCATGTGTGTTAAGATGTAAAGTATTTAAAAGGCTTCACCAATCATTTGAATTTACCCGACAGTTATGCTCTTCATTCTTGTTCCGTTGGTGATGCATTAGAGTTACATCATCCATTTTGCTTTTGAATAATGGGTTCCTTTCATTATTCATCTCTAGCTACACTTCATTATTGCTTTAATTTTGTCTGGACTGTCACCCCCTGCAGGACACACACTGGAGAGTAGCTTCAGTGACAGACTTATTCATCCTCGACGTGTGAAGGAGAGGTTCTACAAGTCTTTTCTTCCTGCTGCGGTCAGACTGTACAATGAGAACTGCGGACGCTGAATATGTGATACATCTGTAAATAAGTAATTACTGTAATCATGTGCCATGTGCAATCTGCAACTTCCCATTTCTCTCTGGTCCACTTACTTGAGTAGCCATGCGGTCTGGAGTATAGATACAGAATAGGGCGGCTAAACTATGTGCCAGTAATTTATTACAGGATCATTATTATATAACAATTTATTCGCCAAACTAAAACAAAAATCTAAAGGACATTGTTAGAGACTCCTAAGCATCTTATATATGTAATATTGTATCCCCTAAATCCCTGACATACACCCAACCCAAAATAAGGGTATTTCCTGAAATGGTCTTGAAACAGGGCTAAATCTGAATGCGGAACGTCCGCTTTCTCATTTTTCTTACCTGGCCCAAAAATGTCTCACATGCCAAGATATCATGTTTGAATTGACATTTTGAGTCCACAGTTTTAAGGTTTGACTTCTAGAAAACAGATCTCCATTGTCCATCATCTAAAATCATACCTCTCAATGAAGTAGTTTTAGACGCATGTACCAGATGCTATTTACGGAGTTTGTGGTTCTTAAAATAATGAATTTTCCAAACTGTGACCCTTCTTATCAGAAATAATGATTATGATTACTTCAATTTGGACACAATTGCTGCCTTCTCTGACTCCCTGTCCCCAAGGAAAAGCTTTTAGTCGGACCAATTACTTGTCAATGAACTTGTATATGGATTGAATATGAATGGTTTAAATAATTATTCTGTTCCCTGTAATGAAACATTTTAAGTTTTTCAAACTCAAGAGTTGTTCATGCTTTCTGTAGTCCTTGCTGGACTTAAAGCTTTTACATTTCTACATTTTCAAGTTCCGAAGTTTTAACCCTGTAGCTTATACAGCATGCATCCAAGGCATGTATTTTTTCCTAGTGTGTTTATGTGAACAGCAGAGAGAACCATGATAAAGTGCTGGGAAATACACTGGACATTTATGTGATGTCCTGTGTACTGGGTGCAGCTCTGACTGCCACCCTCCCGACCCAGAAATGGATTAGGGGAAGAAAATGGATAGATTTATGTGATGAGTGCTATTGTCAGATGGTGAAAGAAAGCCAATTCTGTTCAGTATCGTAATATTTTGTGCATGCAGTTTAATCAATATAGTAGAAAAAAGTATTGCTATATTTTTTGGTATAATTATCTGTTTAAGTTTTGAGTTTTCTCTGGTAACTATTATTTCTGCTTTTTGTTAATCTTCTGTATTTGAATAATTTAAGTTGCAGGGAGCTCATCATTCAGGGAATAAACATGGGTTGACCTGTAACAACGTCCTGTGTGCTGAATGTTCATGGATACATTTTTTGCACTACCCTCCGAAGTTTTTGCTCTTCAGTTAAAGTGCAGACCCTAAATATGAAGATAAGCAGTCTAATTTTTCTCTATTTTTATATTGCCTTTATATAATATAAGAGGCATAAATCACAATATATCTCAAAGCTTGCTGCAATGTGGCCCATATACAACGTAGCGTGGCTCAAAGATCGAAATACTATTGAATCCTCACATTAATAAGTGTTGAGTTACAACACAAGGACTTGGCTTATATTCATCCATCCATCCATCCATTTTCTTCCCCTTAATCCATTTCTGGGTCAGGGGGGTGGCAGTCAGAGCTGCACCCAGTACACTTAGCCCCAGCCCCTCACTGATCCTCCTGCAGGTGATGAGTCCACAGGAGCTGAGATCTTTCAGCGGGGGCTTCGGGCAAAGTGGGGTTAAGTGTCTTGCCCAAGGACACAACGACAGCAGTCATCAGTGGGAGTTGTGAAGTAGGTCTAATGGTGGGCTCGAACCAACTTCTATTCAATTACGACCTATATGCAGACAAAAATTACTTTCTCTTAAAGTTTATCTGATGTGGTTTATGCACACTGCACAGATGCACTTAATAGTCCAGCAAGTACTGTATTTAACTCTTTTTATTATCTAAATGTAAGATTTAATTTTTCGCCATTGCTATTATGTATTGTAGTTATTATTATCATTATCTTTGTAGTCCCTCGTGATCCTTTTGAAGAAGCCCTCTTCACTGGTCGTCGGAAATTACATGCTATGGCTTTTGGTTCATTATCCATTGACACCATAGACATGGGCTGTCATGAAAAAATACTTCTTTATTCAAGCCACGCGGAAAGACAAATGGGGAAAATCTGAAACTTTGCATTAGTCTGTGTAGGTTTCCTCCTGGTGCTCCGGTTTCCTCTACCGATGAAACATGTACAATAGGTTTGAATGTTATGTGAGTGTATGGATGGTGATGGTTTGAGGTTAGTGTGACCATGATCTGTGAAATGCACTGTAAAAAAATGTTTATAAAAAGTTTGATTGATGAGGATTCTTCTAAGAGGCAACATCTTTTCTCCACCTCATAGCACTTTCTACAAATGAATTGGCTATTTATATAGTCTCCCAGCAGAACTTACAATGTCGAAGAGTCACTGCCTGAAAATAACCTTATCTTCGCCTTCTTCAGAAATAATCCAGTTGGTTTTTTGTGTGCTAAGATTTATGACACGCCCTATAAAACAAAACAGGTCCTTGATTAGATGTTCTTTTGCTGTGGACAGTTTGAGTTCAGTGCGTGTAATACCTCCCCCCCACAGCTCGTCTCTCAGCAGCTCTGCCTATCGCTCCGTGCATCTCACACATACCTGTATGGAAACTTGGCTCGCACAATCGCTCCTCTGTTGTGTTCTCGAGAGTCATGTCTGCCTCTTCTTCCTCAGGGGCCGATTCCTGTCGCACTGAGAAGAGGCGATGGACGGGTGACCTTGCTTGCATCTTACTGGCTTGTTGGAGTTCTTTGTACATCCTGGTCCCAGCGGAAGCGATGGCCAAGAGTCCTGAGGTGAAGCTGGCAGTGTTTGGGAGAGCGGGAGTCGGCAAGTCAGGTAAATCAGATCAGATTAAGCCAATTTAATCAGGGGAGACTAAAGCCAAGCTAGATAATGGCACGGTGGCTGAGAAACATGCACACTAGGTGAAATCCTCCAGCTCTAGTAGTCCTGACCAAGCCGAGCATCAACATCTGGAGGTGGGTTCCCGGGCGCTGCACCACGGCAACCACTGCTCCTGACGTAAGCCTTAGCGGCATCAGGATGGGTCAAATGCAGAGGATTGAATTGCCCTACAGGGATTAATGAAGTGCACCTTACCCTTTACCTTTAATAGAGCATGATGCAGTTACATGTCTTCACGCGCTCCCATTGTCCTCTGAGTCATTTGTTCATTATGGATATTAAATTAAGCTACTGCAATTAGAGCTGCGAGGATTAGTCAACATTGGGTTGTAGTAAACAATTATTTTGATAATTGATTTAGTTGGACAAGTATTCTTTCAATTAATCGATTATTTGTTCAAAGCCCGATAGACCAGTGAATGTGGGGTTTTGATGATTTGTTCCACATTGGGCTGATTCATTAAACAAATATTCAAAGCACTCTGGTAAATGCAATATATATTTACAATATTTTGATGGAGTCAAATTAATAAGTCCATAGCCTCTGCTCTGACAGTAGCCCCAATCACATCAAACAACACTTGTGCCTCTTCCTGCTGTTCACATTAACACACAGCGAAGCAGGATTGTATGCTCCATCATCAGCTCTGGAGATCAACAGCCGATAAAGCAGTTTCCAAAACCCTTTCCTGCACTAAGCTATAACAAAAACAATAATACATACAATGGGCACAGGGTTCAAAGATTATTATTATTTTTTTAAAGTAGCATCCCGTAGTCCAGCAAATACTGTAATCGCTATTTGAACTTTATGGTCCTATTGGCTCACTATTTTTTTATAATGAAAATCCACGGCCATGTTCAGACCGGAACAAAACAACAAAGAGTTTTGAAAATTGTGTGTCCTTCAAATAAACACTATAGTGAGGAGAAGAGGCCTTGAGTGTTTTCAAGATTCAAAAAGATTTGCACTGTCTTGTAGAGTTATAACGGGTTTTTGTGTGGTTCCTTTTTAAGACAAGAGTCATTTTAGAGTCAGTTCATTCCTCAGACGAATTCCCTAATACAGACGTCCGGATAAACATATTTGTGTGCTTATTTCCTGACTCCTTTGTTGTAATCATCATATACAGGTCAGTACATTCTGCAGAAAAAGCGCAGCGTTCAAGCCGTGATGTCAGGCTAAGACAAGTTGTAGTTCAGATGAAACATTTGGAGATGGGTATATTTCTAATGGCACATGGCTTTCAAAAAATGTTTGGTTTCACTCCCCTGATATACTAACTTAATTTGGGTGATGCCTTGATAAGAGGAAACATTTTTGCATTGCAGATACCCGTGAGATCTGCCCTGTGTGGACATGGTCTAAAAGCAAATTGTCAGGTTTTATTGTAATTTAGATTAATATTAATGTACTATAATATTTGACTATGTACTTGTGAACAGTGTTTCCAAGTCACTCACAGAAGAAAGAGAGAATGTAAATGTTATTTAAAGTGATATTTTTTTTTTTTTCACATATTGAACAGTAGCCAAGATGTTTGGTAGATTTAGTTCTTGCATCATACAGGCCAGTGCTAGTAAAGTAGATTCTTAGGAATATCTCGTTTCATGCAATCTTCTTGGTAAATGTCCCCACACTAGCATTCTTTTTGTGGCTATGCACAATGTTTACACTTTCAATCTCGTAAAAAATCTTTGTTCTTCTGTTCAACAATGTATTTTCCTGCCGTCTTTATTGGAAGTGCTGGCTGCTGGTGGTTGTTTTTTATAGTTCTTCACTTGATTATGTAGCCTGTAAACATGCTGTCATTCTGCTCTCACAACTGTAATTTGGCTCATGTTGGGTTTTAGGCACCGGTAGGAGCTCATCCACATTTATCTGCGTCTTGAATTTGCTTCAGCAGTATAAATCCTTCTGTACTCCCAAAAAGGCACTTGCCTGGAATATTAATAATAGACGTAATCTAAAAGTACACCATTTTGATTTGACTGCTTTATTTTGAGCCATACAAAATTATAACATTCTGCGCCATACAGAAAGCAGTGTACCTACTTACATGGACAACAAATGAAGAACAAAAGAAAAAGGTACAGGGAGGATCTGTACAAAATATACATGAGAAAAAAAGAGTTTAGCTCAAAAGAGTGGGACGAAGAAAATGTGTGTGATCCCACCCCCTGCGAAAAAACAATAGTCAGCTCAATTTGTCTAAACATCACTCTGAGTAAAAACTGACCACTCTGTGGTAAGTGTGCGATATAGCTATTGAGCTAATTGTAGCACTATAGAGTGGAGCGGTACACACCAAGTGTTGAGGGCAGCATGCCTCTTGTGTTTGTGTGTCTGTATACGAAAATGTGGGAGTTTGGGAATGTTCAACGTCTCAGAGAAGATGCGGCACGGCATAAAACAATCAGTGAGCAGCACCACTGTGGGGACACTGGCAGGTCAGAGGAAGAGGAGGCAGACACATTTTTTTATGTGAACTCCACTTAGCTCACATTTTTTGGCTTCTCTACTCCCCTGTGGTGGATAAAAGCCATTTTCCCTAGTTTTTCCTTATGCACCCCCTCTGCTGTTTCTGACTAAAAGAGTTTTCTCTTATCTGATTGTTTACCCTGTGACAAAATGCAAGATGTGCAAGTATCAATAATTCTCTTCCTTCAGCAGTGGGTTGGTGAATCTGTAACTGCAGATTCACCAACTCGAGCTTGACTGGGATATGTGAGGCAAAGGCACAATTCAACAGGCAACCTGTGAAGGTTTGTTAGAGTAAAAGGAAAAATATCCGTTCAGCAAGTGTCTACCATTTAAGTTTCTGACAGATATGATCTGTTCAATAATCTATTCACAATCAAATACTAATTGGTTCTCGGCCCGATCCACCTCAAAAATCAATCTCCTTTGCTGCTGTGGTTGAAGTAATGAAAAGGATTGAAAGGACTTGACTACATTGGGGCATAGGCGTTTGTCATCTCTCTGCTTTTGTGTGTTAGTTCAAAGTATTGCTCATTTGAATGCATGATTAGGGCTGACAGTTTGCAGTGAATAACCCAGGCATAATGACTCAGCAGTGCTCTTTCTAATCATTCATCACAAGTGGCGCTTGAGAGCTGAAAAGGTGAAATTTGAGTATTACATAATCCTTCAAATTCCATTGACTTCTTACTTAGTATTCTGAACATATTTTTTGTACATACTTTGTTGCAATATTTGAAGAAATGTTGTTATGCTGGGTCACGGGTTCATTAATAAAGTTGATAAAGAGAGAGGGAAAAAGGCGATTTACTTCTGTTACGGAACCTTATACATTTATTTGGCCTTTAAAAACGTAATTAGGCTATTTATTAGTCATTTAATGTTACAGAATTTGTCATCAGGCCCCTTCTAAGAAAGAGCAGTCTATGCCACGGTACTTAACAACTATCGTCCCATATCAAATATGCCATTTATGGGGAAAGTTCTTAAAAAAGTTGTCTACCAACAGCTTACTACTCATCTGATATGTTTCAGTCCAGCTTGACCCCATCACAGCACTGAGACTGCTCTCATCAAGGTAGCAAACTGTATCTGACTGAACACTGATGCAGGCAAAGTCTCAATCTTAATCTTGTTAGATCTGAGTGCTGCCTTTGAAATGTGTCCTATCATAACTATGCAGACGACACTCAGATCTATGTCTCACTGACTGCAGGAGAACATGGACCAGTGGACTCACTCCTTCACTGTATCCAACAGATCAGTGAGTGGATGCAAAACAACTTCCTTCAGCTAAACGCAGACAAAACTGAAATGATTGTCTTTGGTCCCCAGAAACAAAGAGAGAGCGTCATCTGTCACCTACAGTCTCTCTCCCTAAAATCTTAAAATTGGCTCAGAAATTTCAGGAATAATAATGGACTGTGACTGAAATAGCCACATACAATCAGTAACATCAGCAGCTTTTTACCACCAACAAAATACTGTCAGGATCAAAAACATAGTGTCTAAAGCAGACCTGGAGATTCTTATCCATGCATTTGTCTCCAGCAGGTTAGACTACTGCAATGGCCTGCTCACAGGTCTGTCCAAACAGGCTGTAAAACAGCTACAATATATTCAAAATTCTTCCGCTCAAGTTTTGACTTGAACCAGGAAGTATGATCACATTAGTCCAGTTCTCAGGTCTCTGCCCTGGCTTCCTGTGGCTCAGATAATAGACTTTAAAACAGCTTTACTTGTCTTACTAAGTCTTTTCATGGCCTCGCACCAAAGTACATAAGTGACTAAACTTGTTTTGTTCAGAACTTTGAGTTGCCTTGCGTATGAATTGGGCTATACAAATAAACTTATCACAACAAGACGCATAATGATTAATTTATAAAGAATTATATTACAATCATAGATTACAATTTGCATAATCCCAAAGTAAGTCACTTTCTTGAGGCTTTTAAAAAAAGTATCTTCTTATAAGTACTGTTGAGAACTGTGAGGTGGTCCCCTTGCCTCCAAACTTTCACCATGCTTGTTTGTACTTGTATTACAGGCTGTACTAACATTGTAGCTAACATGCTATATTTAGCTTAGAAGACAGGCAGAAAACCATGACCTCAGTATAGAAGCTGTGCCCCATAAATGTGATCTTGAAGGGATAGGAACCGCATTATCTTCAGAGTAGGTTTGAAAAGATTGTAACGTAGCAACAGACCTGCAATTGACCAAAACATGTTCCTGTGAGTTTGTGTGAAGGGGAGCAAGAACAGGATTTTTGTCCACTTTGTTCTCCATTTTACTTAATCAGCGACGTTGATACAGCTTGGAAGAAAGACTTTAGTTTTCATGTTTTGAGTGACGCAAATGTGCCATTTAGCCGACACCATCTTCTCTGTGTGATATTCCAGCTGCCAATGCTGGTTGAAATCTGCAATAAATGTTAATTAAACGTAAG